TGTGCTGATTCACTTCCAGATAACGCTTTGTTCATCCAACCATCCACTTTGACCCTGTTAGATCAGTTCTGATAAGGATCCTTGTTATTATTTTATGACCTTTGATTTGTTTTGGCATGCGAGAAATGATATTTTCACACTGAATGTGTTAAGTTGGGTACAGATATTAACATGTCCCTCTGCCATCTGTCTCAAACCGTTGAATATTGGTAAACAGTCTCGTGATGAACTGGTACCTTTTAATGTTTACATGTATAACGGGACACTGATCTAGAGCAATTCCCGGACTGGTTGTTGCTTTTGTTATTGTTTCAACCCCATGAGTACCCATATAATATCCCAGAATTCTTACAATGATCACAGTTTCGTCTTGAAATTAATTGGAAAAATATTGTCATCTTTTTTACCCCTTAATTTTTTATTATTATGATAACAAAGTTGAACATTTTGAAGTTTAACTTCATCTGCTAGTGGTAAAAAATGTTGGGATTTATATGTAAATTGTATGTAATGTTATAACTCGTGATAGTTTCTCAACTGATCACGTGGCTTTATTGCAGTTTTTTTTGTGTATTGGTGTATCGTCTCATTGGTCACCCACATGGTTGGTTGTTTAACGCCACACTCAGCAATATTACAGATATATGGCGGCGGTCTGTAAATAATCGAGTCTGTACCAGACAATCCAGTAATCAGCATTATTAGCATCGATCTACTCAATTTGGATACGATGACCGTGTCAACCAAGTCAGTGAGCCTGACACCCGATCCTTTTAGTCACCTCTTACGACAAGCATGGGTTACTGAAGACCAATTTTAACCCAGATCTTCACGGGTCAAAGATTATGGAGAATCTAGGTACATATAAACCAATGATGTCACACCTTCTGGGAAAATTAGTAGCATGACAGCTTGTGCAGGAATTAGTATTTGGTCAATTGATTGATCTCGCTTGGGTCATTGATTATCAATGAGTTTGGGACACTAATCAATATTCATAAAAATTGAAACATCAAATTTATCTTTAGAAAGTATGTTTCTAGTTGTCATATTTGTTGAATCAAGAAATAAACAACTGATGCAATTTTCTCACTCATAAGACTGCCATGTAAATAACACACCCGGTACACTCAAGCGTGTCTCAACAGGAAGTATCCTCGATCGTCTTGATCATGGTATTAATCGGTGCCTCACCATACATAAATGTTTCAGTTGCTACCAAAAGATAAATCAATGTGCTTGACTTGATACTTTGTTGTTGTTCCATTTTGCCAAGGTGATGGTCTGTAAAAACAGGTTTCTTGTAACCAGTTATTTCAAGTCTGCTGTTAGCTGACAGCCATATTGGGCTTTCACTCCTGCTGGTTGTCAAGACTTCATGCAGGGCAGGCTATAATACATATATGTGTCATATTTGGGGACTTGTATTCACATCCCAGGTGAAAGCAGTTGATGAACATGAGGAATTCAGAAATGACCTATTTACTGAAGCGCAAACCCGATTACTTTCCTCAGCTACCAGTCCATCCATTACCTGTTTGTAAGGGACAGAAATTGTATCTCACTGTTTTGAACTGCAGATGCTTGTATCGAGTCATATACCTCTTTGACCCTGGAAAATGTTTGTTACGTGCAACCTACTTCAGACATAAAATATTCATCAGTCGTTAAGCAGCATGTTCATTGGTAGATACATATTAATGCACAATACCCATACAATGGACAACCACTGTGTTGAAATTCTGTTAGCTGATTAAAGTTTGACATTTTTTTACTGTCACATGCAATTAGCTGGAAGTTTTTTTGTGCCACCACTTGTAGAAGAAATAGTATTTGTTTGAGAGTTCAGGTGGTATCTGAATGGGCTTGAAGTTTCTGTTTTGAATCACAGGGGCTTGTTACTGAATGCCAAACAAATTATCAAGGTATTTATTGTATTGTGCAAGTTACCATAGTTAGTTATGGTTAGTGGTAGTTAGCATGTATATATGTTGATGCTTTTTGTGTGTGTGTTAAAGGCCCTCTGTTTCCAGTCGACAACACAATCCCCAGATCCCTGAGCAGGGATTTACTTGGAGTCCTGTATTTGAGGGTCCCTTGGACTCATACTCTTAATTTTCAGGGTCTTGGGCTACAAAATGGGGGTCCCAGACACTTAAATTTAATACGTGTTATTGTATCGTGTATCATTATCATAACATTGTTACAGTAATTAAACTGCAAATGATACCATAACCCAGCTAGTAGCAAACTCTGTGATAACCTATTGTTACTTGATTGGAATTTTTTTAAAAAGTATGTGGACTTTTTCTGCATCCCAGTGGATGCGTTAATAAATTCCGTTGCGTCCATTGTCAATTTTTATGAGTATAGGACACAGGAATTCGCATCCCGTAAATCCCTGCCTGAGAGTAACACTTGACCACCTGGCCATTATTCATGTTTCCACTGGCCCTTGAGATACATACCACACAGCAGACCAGCTCTCGTATCAAATACCAGTGGTATACCATGTCTTTATGTTAGTTTGTCTAACCATTGGTCCAGAAGAAGTGTCTGCAGACTTACTTGCCTTGCCAGGAACATGCTTGGTTCCCTAGAAGTCTCCTACTTCAAGGATGTCTATGTTAATATAGTATGACCAGAAATTATTGACAATTTTAGGAATATGTGTAATTGGATTTCTAGTATATACAAACTTGGCCAGCTATGATGTTCTTGCTTTCATTCAAGAGAGACAACTCCGTTAATCCTTTTTCATTAGTTTGTGAAGAGTTATCCCCCTTTGTTTACTTGCTAGCAGACGACATTTTCAGTGATCCTCAGTATGAATGATATAGAGAAGAGGAAGTTGATTTTAGAGTATTATAACAAGGACATCAGATCAGCTAAAGTGATTTCAAGAAGAACAGGCATCCCTTTGTCCACTGTTTATCGTGTTTTGAAAAATATTGCAAATGGATATGGCATTGAGCACCAGGGAGGCGCAGGTAAGCCCAGAAAATTGACTGTCGGTGACAGGAGGCGGCTTGGTATTCTTGTTTCTAAAAACAAACGAAGGGGTTTAGAAAACATAAGGCTGGATATGATTGATAGAGGAACTGTGGCTGTCTGTAAGGAGACAATTAGAACTGAGGTGCATGTAATGGGTTGGCAGAAAAGTCAAGGAATTCCATCACCTATCATGAAACCTGAACAAAAGGAGCGAAGGTTGAACTGGTGTTTACAGCAAAGAAATTGTAACTGGGACAATGTGATTTTCTCAGATGAAAGTTGTGTGTGGCTGTTTCCTAATACACTGAAATTCTGGACCAAACAAACTGAAAAACCTTTGTTTCAACGCCCAAAGTACAGTCCAAAATTTAACGTGTGGGTGGCATATCTGTGTTAGGGGCAACACCCCTCTGTGTATTTGAAGGGAATATGAACAGTGAGCTGTACACAGATATTCTTGAGGGACATTTACTTCCATCTGCTCACTTGTTCTATGGAAATGTTTGGATTTTCCAGCAGGACAACGACCCAAAACATTGTTCAAAGCATTCACAGGCCTGGTTTCGGACCCAAAATGTGACATCATTAGATTGGCCAAGCTATAGCCCTGACCTAAATCCAATAGAAAATGTTTGGGGACTTATGAAGGAAAGTGTCAATAAGAAAAATCTGACAAATATTGCTGAAATGAAAGAAGAGGTGGTCCGATATTGGAACAGCATGGGCCACGACTTTCTAAGTTCTTTGACAGTAGTATGCCCTTTTCTAAGTTCTTTGATCAGTAGTATGCCCTTAGACTTGCATTGAACTGCAGAGAGGCCTGCATTGACTACAGCCCATTTGTGACTTGACAAAATACTAACTGTTCACCTGTCTTTGAATCTGGAGTTATGTTCTGCTAATATTCACATTTAATACGAGAGTAATGAGTGAAAAATATAAAAAAATTACAATCTTTAAATTCTCAATAATTTCTGGTTGTACTGTATAATACCAGTCGTCTATATGATAAACTGTGCAGTATATGCATAACCTTTTCCCCCTCAAAAACTAATAATATTTTTTTCATTACTTGAATCCAGGGGGCGGTGGGGTAGCCTAATGGTTAAAGCGTTGGCTCATCACGCCGAAGACCCGGGTTCGAATCCCCACATGGGTACAATGTGTGAAGCCCATTTCTGGTGTCCCCCGCCGTGATGTTGCTGGAATATTGCTAAAAGCGGCGTAAAACCAAACTCAGTCAGTCAGTACTTGAATCCAAAGCCATAATGAAATAATTCCACAAACAGTCATTAGAAACAGTTATCATATGATAAGATATAGATTGTCACTGACATTTATTTATGTTAAGATGTAAACATTGTTTGTGTAAGCGTAATGCCACAAGTATGTTTTCATTATAATACTGGCTTAAACATTTAGCAAACAGGTGACCTTTGATGTTTCTAAATGTTATTATGATGTTATTATATATTCCAATTGGAAGACACACAGATGAGATTCATCATTTGTCCCATGACTGATAACAGTCAAATATAAACACTGACATAGTGGGTTGTATTTTGTGTTTAACTCTGGGATCATAGTCAAAGGATCATCTTATTTTTTTGTTAGGCAGGAAAATGTTTCAAAACAACAGGCTAACAACATTCTTTGGCAAGAGTAACTGCCTTCCATGGTGTGCTTTGCTTGTGAGCATATGCTAGACTTCATACTGCTGCAGTGGAATTTCTGTTTTTGCCTAGATAATGTCTTAACCACAGACGTTATATGTACATAAAGCTGTTTGAGAGAGGGGTAGTTGTTTTGTGTGTTAGCCAACACACATGGCTGGTCGTCATGTAGGGTACTTCTCCGTATGCACAAATCCATAATGCGTCCCCTTTCATAACGCCAAGCCCACTGTATTTCTGCTTCAGTGCATGCGTGGGTGATAATGATTATTCCACTACCTAGCAGCAACCTGACCCCCCTTGTGGAGTGAATGAACTGCCCTAACATTCAGTTGGCCTTGTACTGTTGGAGCAAGGTCAGTGCAGTACATGTTTACAGCAGTCAGCTGAGTGGTGACTAGTTCATAGAAGTACTTGCTTTATCAAGACTTGTATGAACACTAGTGCTGGACAACATCCCTCAGTGAAGGTGCCCCTAACTCGGCTGTTGTTGTCAGCATGTTGAAGTAGAGCAGAATGAGCAAAGCGTGGTGTGCTGACCCTGGTCGCTGGGGCACAGGTGAGCTAAGTTGCTTTACTCTTGCATCAGTGTTGGAAGGTCCTGTGTGGTATAAAACTGCTTTGTCATAGTCAAGAAATATCATCTGCCCCCTATGCAGTGCTTTATCTATGATGCCAAACTTTGTGCCCTCAGCAGAAAAACTAGGAAATGACATAATTTGTTTTAAATATTGGATTTCCTTGAAAGTGTATATTTTCATGTTTTAGGGATATGTCATCATTTCATGGCAAGACCAAACATACTGATTCTCCTTGTTTATTGGTTCTGTTATCAGTAAAATGCAAGTCACCTCTGCAAAGAAATAACGTGACTTGGCAATTTTTTATTCCAATTTAGGAATTGTTACTGACATTTGCTCCTTTGTCCAAATATGGGCCTCCGTGCAGGTCTAAATGAATCCATGATATGGTAAAAAAGTCGTTTCTATTCCCGTATCTACTCGCATGTCTGAGCCACATGCCATGAACACATGCGAACATGTTAAGATGTTAGTTTTTCTGCTCAAGTTGCGTGAAGGATGTTCAGTATAGACAGTCTAACGTAATCATGACGTGTGGGCCCATGCACAGTGTTCCTATTTGAGGATAATCATATCTGTATCACTTTAGATTATGCTCCTGATAATAATGTTCATGTTGACATCAGGCCATGAAAGGCATCAAAATTCACTGCACTCATGAACTCCCCATTTTCTTTCCCAAGTAGTTTGTTTGAAATTATCTGTGGCTTGTTATGGAGATGACTGGTGGCAGCTGTAAGAGTAATATTAAAGGTTTAAAATTCAAATGAAGTACACTTCATCCACATGATCTTAGGGTGCCAAGTCAAATAGGCCTATAAACATTTTTACTTTGAAGAGCAGAAATATGATAAAAGATTAATCCATGTAAACTTTGCTATTTCAGTTTGATGCAATGTGTGGATCAGTTTTGAAATGTTTTTAGGTTTTACTCAGAGTAATCGTTGTGTTTACACGGACATGTATGGTTACGTGGTGGTGATGTATCAAATAAAACATCATGAAGTATAAATCACTGATTATCTGAAATATGCATGACAACACCATAATAAGTGTAGGAAGTACATCACAAATTGACATGGGTAATATGTCACAGAGCTGGGTAGGTATGTAATACACCAGACAACATCCATGTATATTTCTGTCAACTCTATAACTGAATCTGCTGTGGCACATAAGGTGGCATGAAATAGGGCAATATCTTGTGTTCAAGTTATTGCAGATGTATATATTGATGTGTTTATGTGAGTGTGTCTGCCTGCATGTGTGTGTGTCTGGGTATCCACAAGACCACAGAGGCAAGTCATGTCCAGGTTCCCAGGGCTTAGGTTCAGTTTAGAAGAGTCCCACCATATCTGAAGAGTATGTTAGTGGTTGAAATAATTCTAAATTAGCAAGCCATTGACTCAGTACCTTCTGGATAAATAGAAATCCAAGCAGTGTTTGTGACTATGAACCACCTGAGCAACAGGTCAATGAGAATCTATAACGTCCAGCCATCTGGCTTATTATCACATGTTTGATGAGTCATAGCAGTTTAGAAGTGATGTGTGGCTACCTTGTGTGTTATTACCCTGTAAGTGCCACTTGGCCAGGTATGCTTCTAAAATCAACATCATAATAACAGATAATAAGCTAGAAGATCTTTGGGTGTTCTAAACAATGATACTCTCGGCATTGGGAGAGTGTTAGTGGTATTATTGAACTGTGTAGTTGTTGTGGTTTCTTTCTAAAGTCATTACTGATGCTGGTCAAGCCATGACTGCTTTAACAAGTCATTTACAGGGAAATGACAAATCTCCCTGCTGGTACAATCAGCTGATAATGGCTGAATCAATATACATGTTGAGTCAGATCAATATAAGGTCGGCCCGAGTGTGGCTTAAAGGGTTTATACTCAGGATAGTTGGAAGTCCTCTCAGGTCTGATCCAAATCACCGAAGACACAGTATGTATTCAAACTCATAGTTTAGACGTGAGTGATGAGCCTGGTTACACATAAATTATGCTGACAGAAAATTTAAACTAAGTGAGCATTCTGCCCCAAGCAGGACATAGTGAAATATCTTACAAGAGCTCTCTGAACATCAGTGTAATAATGTCTACAATTGGGCCTATTACAGGGTATGAAACTCCCAACAATTTCAGCCAGACCACAGGGCTGGTTAGATGTAAGACTTGCCAGTCCTGACCAAAACTTACCTGCCCACAAATAATTTAGGTGTGACAAGCGACATAGTTTATCATCCAATTGGAATTTCATCATTTATTTTTACGAGTGAATTAATAATGATTTATTATCCTGAAATATGATGAATATCTTCGTATACGTGTCTAAATTTTAACCTGACCGTCGGGCAGGTGAATTTGAGAATCTGGCAGTCCATGTTGAAAATAGCCGGTCCCGGGCAGTCGGGCAGGCAGGTATTTGAACGCTGGTGTATTACCACTTTGAATAGGATAGCATTGTGTGTAAGTTTCATAGCTCAAACCTCAAAGCAATGTAGGTTGTGGACAATATTGCTTTGGTGCCACCTAGATTTGAAATGGTGGAACAAGTTGTGCAACTGTACGTCCCCAGTTTGTTTCAACAGCAGCAGATGGTGCTGTCTGCCTTTAAGCATCATTAGTATTCTGCAACCTTGACACTTCATCAATATGACTGTACAGCTGAATTGAGGTAGTCAGTAACCTAAACCAACATGGAGTGTCTGTTTTCCCTTTGCACCACTATTTATGTGAAGTATCTTTGGATGGTATCAGGTAGGATTTGGTCTTGGGTCACATCATGAATCTGAAATGAGGTGGGTTGTCAAATCTACAGTGATGTGTAGTGTAGGTATACTTCCTTGAAGGTGAAGCAATGCCGTAGTTTCAGCCTGCAGAGGGTTAGGTTTAGTTCCTGTGTTATTCCTGAAATCTGAGGCAACGTACAGACTTCACAGATGGAGAAAGTAGGGTTACTGTTGTTTTGGGTTGCCTGGTTTCAATGCCAGTGCGTATGTTCCTTCTACCAGTCAGCTTGTCTGCAGATATTTGTTCTGAATACTGTGAATACTGAAACATTTGAATGTAATACTACAATAAGGTGTCCTGTATGATTTCCTGGGGCAAGCTTGTGTCTTTATTATGTCCCTACAAATCAACACTACTATATCTGTGTTACTACCAGAGTTAACTGCCTATAGAAAGCAACATATCTACTCTCTATGTGTTTTCAATAAATGCACATAAGTTTCCTCCATGATTTTCCTGATGTGTTATGGTGTTATCTCACCCAGTGTTTAAACACAAACTACATTTGCCTCTTGCATACTGAATGGAATATTATTCACTTCCTCAACAGAGGAACACACTGCTGCACTTTTCTTGCAGGGTAATGTCCCTTTATCATCCCAGGTATTCCAGGTTATGGGTTTGATTTCCCAGGGTCAATACTTCAGATTGATCCATGTGTTTAATGATCAAGAAAGTGTTTAACTAAACTATTCCTCCAATAGTCTCAAAAGCCAACCAAGACATAAAACTAATGAAATATCCTTCCTGGAATTATACCTCACCACATATACTTGCGAGCCTTCTTGCATATATACTACCCATCAAAAGTTTAGACTCACTTACAGCACTCGCTATATGTTATGTATATACCAATGGTTACATCGAAAGATGACTTTGTCCACTAACTTGGGGGAACCAACTGCAAACCTTACGCAGAGGATTTACACGTCAGGATCATGCATCAAATTGCTGAAAAGCATGTGCAAATATTGTGCATGTGTACATTTGAGTTTGAGTGTAGAGTTTTGTTAAGAATTCGCCATCATTTATTGAACTCATGACAATAATCTTTTCAACGTTATGAATTTGTTTTACAAGACATCAGTTCATGTGTAAACAGTGCCTTTAAACAGTATGGAATATTTTGCAAAGTCTAGTTTAGTACAGTTGACTGAAATAAGTTGCTATATTTACATTAAAATAAGTGAGTCTTAACTTTTGATGGGTAGTATACTTGCACACCTCCCTGTATATACTTTCACACGTGTCATGGCATATACTTGCACACCTTGCATATACTTGAATACCTTGCAGCATATACTTGAATACCTTGCAGCATATACTTGAATACCTTGCAGCATATACTTGAATACCTTGCAGCATATACTTGCACCTCACAGCATATACTTGAATACCTCATACTATATACTTGCACACCTTGCAGCATATACTTGAATACCTGCACCTCACAGTGCATATACTTGAATACCTTGCAGCATATACTTGCACACGTAGCAGCATATACTTGAATGCCTCGCAGCATATATTTGAATACCTCGCAGCATATACTTGAATACCTCGCAGCATATATTTGCACACCTTGCAGCATATACTTACACACTCGCAGCATATACTTGCACACCTCACAGCATATATTTGAATACCTTGCAGCATATACTTGAAAACCTCACAGTATATACTTGAATACCTCATAGTATATACTTGCACACCTCACAGTATATACTTGAATACCTCGCAGCATATACTTGCACACCTCAGCATATACTTGAATACCTCACAGCATATACTTGCACACCTCACAGCATATACTTGCACACCTCACAGCATATTCTTGAATACCTCACAGCATATACTTGCACACCTCGCAGCATATACTAGCACACCTCTCATCATATACTTGCACACCTTGTTGCATGTTAACTTTTGGAACTTTAGATATTATAGTTACTATGTGTGCATCTTACAAGGAAGTTGCTTAAACTACATTTATGATCCTAGTGTAAAAATAGTCCTGTCAGTTGTTTTTTCTGGTTTCTGGTTTCTAAGCAACCAGTGTGGTCAAGGGTCTGTCTGACCTGCCATGCATACCAAGCAAAGGGAAGAATTACACCAGTGAGGCATCATTACTTAGCTGCATTTCACTTGCACTGTATGCAGTTTCCAACTGTTGACAGTTGCC